GCTTGCAACTAAGATCTTCAAAATGCGCCCTTGGAAATGCTTTAGTTAGGATATCGGCAGTCTAAAGATTAGAAGGAATGTAAACAGGCTTAATTACTTTCCCTTCTATCTTTTCTCTGATAAAATGTTGATCTATTTCTACATGCTTGGTTCGATCATGATGAACTGGATTTTTAGCAATATTGATGGCAGATTGACTATCACACTGTAGTTGGATTGTTCCCTCAGAAGGTATCTTCAATTCGGTTAATACTCTTTTCACCCAAATTCCCTCACAAATACCGTGAGCCATAGCTCAAAATTCCACTTTTGCACTACTCCTACCCACCATAGCTTGCTTTTTACTTCTCCATGTTGTCAAATTTCCCCAAACATAGGTACAATATCCAGAAGTGGATCGTCTAACTGTGATTGAGCCTACCCAGTCTGCATCAGAATACATTCCACTTCCCTACTTGAGTTTTTCTGAATAACAATCCCTTTCCTGGAGTCATTTTCAAGTATCTCAAGATTCAGTACATTGTTGTCATGTGTTCTTTAGTAGGGTTGTTCATGAACTGACTAACAACACTTACTGAGAATGCTACATCAGGCCTAGTATGTGAGAGATAGATCAACTTCCCTACAAGCCTTTAATATCTTCCCTTATCTATAGGAGCACTTTCTTTATTTGAACCAAGTTGGGTAGTGTAGTCCATAGGTGTCTCTGTAGGTTTACACCCAAGCATACCTGTTTCTTTAAGAAGATCCAGTACATACTTTCTTTGAGAAACTGCAATGCCCCGCTTAGACCTAGCCACTTCCATTCCCAAGAAGTATGTGAGTTTACCTAGGTCCTTGATCTCAAACTCTCTAGTCAGAAATTCTTTGACTCTTGGAAATTCCTCAACATAATCCCCTGTTAGAACAATATCATCAACATAGACAATCAACGCAAAAATCAGTCATTCTGAAGAATGTTTGACAAACATTGTATGATCAGATTGTCTCTGTATATACCCATTACTATTTATAACTCTACTAAATCTCTCAAACCAAGCTCGGGGTGATTGTTTGAGACCATAAAGTGACTTCTTTAGTTTACAAACTTTGTTGATGTTTGATGAATTCTATAGTCCCTGGGGAATGTCCATATAGACCTCCTCTTCTAGATTCCCGTTCAAGAACGCATTCTTGACATCTAGTTGGAGGGGCCAATCCAAATTTGCTACAAGAGAGAGAAGTATCCGAATAGTGTTGAGTTTTGCAACTGGAGCAAATGTCTCATCATAATCTATGCCATAGGATTGAGTAAATCACTTAGCTACCAATCGAGCCTTGTATCTCTCAATACTACCATCTACCTTTGTTTTTACAGTGAAGATCCACTTGCACCCAATCACATTCTTTCCATGAGGCAAATCAGTAATTTCCCAAGTACCATTCTTCACTAGAGCATTAACTTCTTCATTAACTGCCTTCTTCCATTCTAGGATAGCCATGGCTTCTTGGATTGAATCAGGAATGGATATAGAATTGATTTTGCTAGTGAATGCTTGGTAAGATGAAGATAGTCCCTCATAATTCACATAGTTGCCAATAGGGTACAATGGCCTACTTCTGCATTCTCTCACCCCTTTCCTGAGTGCAATGGGTAGGTTCTCATCGGAATTATCATGATCACTTAAACTAGTACCTACAGAATTTTCCTCCACAATCTGTAAGTCAGATGTAGGGATTTTTACCTCAGGTTCAGATGCTAGCAGTATCTATGAATCTTCTAGAGTCTCTGATTCCTTCGATTCTCCCCTTTTTCTGTGATAGACAATTATCTCAGGAAATTCAGAATTAGTTGGTTTCGGTTCAGGTTCAATTTGGACACTTGGAGAAGGTGTTTCAGGTGTTTATGGTGTGCAATCTATGCAATCCAAGAAAAACTGATATTTTTGTGGTTGACTTTGAATAGAACTCTCCCCCTGAATATCAGTTTTGGGGTAATAGGGTTTGGTTTCAAAAAATGTGGCATCCATGGTGTGATAAAACTTTTGGTTGTTAGTACAAAAGCATTTGTAACCCTTTTGGTTGGGAGAGTACCCTATAAAGATACATTTGGTGGATCGAGAGTCAAGATTGGTTCGATGTTATTGATGGATATGCACAACACAGTACACCCAAATATTTTTAGCGGAAGAGAGGAAATCAGCTGACTTTGAAGCAAGTAATGTAAAAATACTTGATTTGGAGTGGAAAAATCTAGTACTTTGGATGAAAGTCGATTGATTAGGTATGCTGCTATAAGTATAGCCTCACCCCAAGAACGTTTTGGAACATTGGATGAAAACAACAGAGACTTGGCAATGTCTAGAAGGTGTCTATTCTTTCTCCCGGATATCCCATTTTGTTGAGGGGTATCTACACAGGAACTTTGGTGTATGATTCCCTCAGTTGATAGATATGAGCCAAGATTAGAGTTGAAAAACTCTCTTCCATTGTCAGTTCTAAGTATTTGAATAGAAGTTTGAAATTGATTTTTAGTCATTGTTTTGAAATTCTTAAATATTTGAGGAACTTCTGATTTATTTTTCATGAGAAAAATCCATGTGAGTCGTGTGTGATCATCTATGAAAGAGATGAACCACTGAGCTCCTGTGACATTTCGAACTTGAGATGGACCCCAAACATCACTGTGGATCATAGAAAAAGGTTCCGATGCTTTGTATGGCTGAATTGGGTATGAAATACGAGAGTGTTTTGCAAATTGACAAATTTCACACTGAAAAGAACTAACACTTTTATTTCTGAATAAACTTGGGAAAAGTTTGGATAAGTACATAAAACTTGGGTGACCTAATCTGTAATGCCACACCATCACCAACCTCTCACTCTCACTTTTCAACTCACTAACAGACACACAAGAATTATTGTGACAAGAAATAGGTTCACTCACTCCTAGATGAGATCGTCTTACAGAATCTAGTTGAACCTCAAGATGATAGAGCCCAGCATGACTCTTAGCATTGCCAATCATCCTCCCCGAACCTAAAATTCACAGAAATAAGGAGAAAAATTAGCTATACAGTTAAGATCTTGGGTAATTTTATTTATGGAGAGTTGGTTGCAGTCTAGATTAGGAACATATAGAAAAAATTTGAGTGTTATGTCCCTGGATACCACAACCGAACCAATTCCTTCAACTTTTGCCAAAGAACCATATGCAATTCTAACTATGAGAGTTTCATTACAAGGAAAATATGTGTAGAAAACTCTCCTATCTCCTATCATGTGATCGGAAGTGCCAGAGTCTATAATCCAGGGTTTATAGTGCTCTTGTTTTACAGTCAAAGCCTTAAGAAAGTTACCTTTTTGAGCTATGGAACCTGACCCAACAATTGGTGGATTTTGTTGTGACTGCAGCAGCCTTCTCAGTCCATCAAGTTCCTCTTTGCTAAAATTTGCAAGTTGTTTTGAACTGCCAGCAATGTTGCCTCGAATTTCCTTCTCTGCTGCTGTCTTTGGCTTCCAATCAGCAGGTTTTCCATATAGTTTCCAGCAGGTTTCTTTGGTATGACCAGGGCGGCGGCAATGTTCACACCATGGCCTTCCCCCTTTGCGTGATTGTTGCTGGTTTTGGGCAGCCAAAGCTGATGACTCACCACCAGCAGTTGATTTTTCCATCCCCAGCATCAAATGGCGTCTACTCTTTTCCCTTCGGACCTCAAAAAATGCTTCACGTAAGCTTGACAGCGGTTTTGTGCTAAATATCCTTCCTCTTAYAGCATCAAGACTTGAATTTAGTCCCAAGCAAAATTTGTARRYCCRCTTATTCTCAATTATCTTCTTGTATTGTTTGAGATCAGCGGTAGTATCCCAGGAATATTTTTCAAAAGCGTCCAGTTGCTGCCAACTTTGATGGAGTTTGTTGTAATACTCAGGCATAAATAAATCACCTTGTCGGAGATCATGCAAGACGCCCTCAATTGTCACCAGTTTGGGGGTGTTGTCTTTGTGAGAATAAGTGTCTTTTGCAGCCTCCCAGATCTCTGCAGTTGTTTCATATAGGAGAAAATTTTCTCCTATGTGTGGCTCCATGGAATTCACTAGCCAAGACATAACTTGGCTGTTATCTCTCTGACAAATCCGATAACCAGCATCTTTTTCATCTAGTTTGGTGATATTTTCGGTGAGATAATCTTCTTTCTCCTTGCTACGGACATGAAACATGAAGGATTGAGACCATTGGATGTAGTTTCGACCATTCAATTTGTAGATGGTGATAGGTGTGGATGAGTAGTTTGTAAAGTCTCCACCATTGTTGTTGAACATAACAGTTTCGACGTTTGAGGAGGAGGATTTTGGAGTTTCAATTGAAGATTCGTTGGTGCTTGTCATGGATGGTATTTGATGTTGCTGCCGGGAATGAGATAAAAGCTATGATAGCTGATGAATACTGCCGGAATAAGCAGTGTAGAATGCAGCTGGAAAAGCAGTAGATACCATGTGAATAATTAGGTTTGAATGACCTATTTTTTTTATTCCAGCAGAACATGTTTTTATATACAATTGGAGTCCTAAACGTTAGGACTTGTTTCCTATTTTAAACTTGCCTAATCTATTCTTAATAAGTAAACAATTATATAGCTAATTACACCTGATTTGTAGCCTAATTTATAGCTAATTTACAGCAAAGAATCCCAACAGTAGCCAATGAAAGGTTTTCTCTATCAGAACTACCGAACGGTGAGTGGTGACATTCAAGATCCATACGATGCAAGAGTATGGGAAGTTGGCATTTGTCAACGGGCGGTGATAATTGATTGAAAAACTTGCAGAGTATGCATGCTATTAATCGTATAATCAGACCCAAGACCTTTCCTTTAATTTTTAGGATCATGTTGACCACCTTTAGTAACGTGAGACCAAACCGTAAAATGTTCCAGATACGTGGTAGCATTTTGTCGGCACAAGAATATTCCACATTAGTGGTCGGACCCGCGATGAGTGAAGGAGATGGAGCCCCATGATACATGGTGACGAGGGATGGCATTAACATGAAACATTGAAACATGAAAGGGACAAAAGTATTAAGAAAGAAGAGAAAAAGAACCATAATCTTCCAACCCTTGATGAATACAGATCAGTTTTACAGTGTCACTGGCCCAACATTACAATTGAGCTGCGCAAGTCGAGGTCAGGTCGCATGGCTTTTAACTGGAAGCCTCGGCCGCATCTCCCCATAACTGCAGTGGTAATCCCAGTGCCCCCCGCCATCATCTATGTACCATTCATTACTTTCTCAGCATGGACAGCGTTTCCATTTTCGACAATCTTGCCATTGACTTGTGTTCTCTGTCTCTGGAGGAATATAATACAATTGTAATGGTTCAGCATGTGTAAGTGTACAGAGAGAGAGAGAGACAGAGAGAGAGAGAGAGTAAAATGAGCAGGATTTGTTCCAGCAGCATACCCAATCGGCTGTGTCCCCAGAATTTCCATTCAAGAGCTTGTGCTGCTCTTCTTTGGTCTTGCTATCCTTCTCTCTGGTACTCAACGGTAACAATGGAGATGAAGTTCCATTTCCATTGCTGCGATCAGGGAGTTCTGCATGTGCATTACAACTCACAAATCATTATAGTTGCTAAAAAATTTTAGTGTTGATGAAACATGGGGAAAATTTGAAAGAACTACCAAACAAAAGGTCACAAAATTTCACCTGGCAATTTCTTATCTATAAAGAATACCACCAAATTTACTGTATACCTACAGAACAATGAAACAGATCAATTGTAGCCAAAAGATGACATGCGACCTTTCTTAAAGGTGACAGAAAAAGGACCAATACCATGCAACAACAATGTCGACTGTGTAATGCTTGCGGGATGCTATAATGAGGAGGCTTTGAACAACAGCAAAAAACCAAGCAAGCTGCTTGACACACCTGAGTTAATATATACAACCAGAAATATTAGATTTTACAACAGCATCTTAGTGGCAAACTTAGGATACAGAAAAGTTAATACCAAACCAAAATGATACAGAAAGTGGCACAAAATGAGAATGTAGGAAATCAACTATCTGATAGTTGAGCCATCAAGGAAGCCACTCTTCCCTTCACATGACTTTTTTTAGTTGTTTGTTTCTTTTTGTGGGGGTGGAGCGGCAGAGGCTAAGCCAAGTATTCATATAATTAGTGGGTGGAGGCAGTGGCAAACATGTAATAAAGTGGGTCCTTGGCTCCCCCAAAACATGGAAGTGCCATTAAAATGTTAACGACAGCTCTCTAACTCTCGAACACCCCTCCACATAATTCCCAATAAAAAATTGTTTACTTTTTCTTCCAAAAAAAAAAAACTGGTAATAGACCCAAACCCTCCCACCCTATTTCTCTCCAAACCTTACCTCCTCTACTTTCTTATCTCATTTTCTTGCTTTTGCCAAGAAGGCAGACCAAGGGCAAAGTAATCCCGTGAGTGCCCTCCCTTGAGAATCTCTATAATGTAATCGACTTAATATAACTTTTTCATTACCATAAGCCAAAAAAAAAAGTTATATAACTTGCCCCCCTCAAAAGAAATTTCCTGGCTCTGCCACTGGGTGGGGGGGCTCTTAATATTATCCATTTTGAAAAAAAATTCTCAAATATATATATTCCCATATAGCAAGAACAAAGAAAACATAAAAAAAAGAACTAAGAACTTACCTTCGCGTGCCATATTTCTGATATGTGAGCACAAAGACTAAAGTAAAGATCATATGAGAAGAAAAAATCAAATCGCCACAGCCGTATATTACACCCCGAGGGACTGCACAAAGAGATTGAGGACAGACTAAATAAATGCCAGGTTTCATTTTGAGGGATGAGATGAAGCCAAATAGAGAGTAGAAGGTCATTTACAATTAATTAAGAGCACTTCCAATACACTGGATGGATGAGGTAGTGTGGCAAGTTTTGAACCCTGCAATGGTCAATAAGAAATACCAAGCTGTAAGAATTTCATCAATTTTTTTGAATAAAATTATAATATATAGATATCCCATAGAGAGGACAACACTTGAAGAATAAAGATCAAACCAATGCTTTACTTAAAAAAGTCTTATTTGCAGTGTCTAAACTGGCCCATAAACTTGGGCCCTTTCTGGGCTTCCTAGCACATTTGGCCAGCTGAATTGGGGCCTGTAAGAGATTCTCTCAATCAAAGACTGAATTTGGTATCAAATCAATCAAGCATCTGATAGAGATAGAGAAAATCTTTTGGATTTATTTAACATTCTTCCGTTTGTTAGTGAGTGCTTTCATGTTTAGTTGCATTTGTTAGGAAGGTAATTACCATGAAGATCTCAAAGAGATTTGATGTTTACCCGTATATACCATTTTTTTTATCAATAACAAGAATTTTCAATAACAGAAAAAACTTAACTTACAAGGGAAGGAAGCTAAACCATCTTAACACCCCAAGGATGTCCAAAGACACCAAAAAGAAGAAAAAACAAGTACAACTGAGCCCAGAAAACAGAATCCCTATTCACCCTTGCCTAAACCCATGTGTGAAAGAATTTACATTTCTCTTTACCCATGTACATTTTACTTCATACCCGTATACACCATTGTACAAGCTATTGAGAACTAATGCACAAATGAAAATTACTAATCGAACAAAAAAATTAATGAACTAATGAAAGTGGAATTGTTCTTAGAATTTTATTGTCTGGTGTTTGGTGCTTACTTCAAGCTTGAAGGTGCTGATTTCTAGAGAAACATAATGGTGGTGCTTTCTTCTCTTCCTTGTAGACCTCTACCAGCCTTTTGTTTCACATAACCGAACTATAGATCTTGTTTCAAATCCCTTTTACAAACTTACTGGTTTTATTTCCATGTGCTGTTTTTGATTATTTAAACCCTCTTAAGTTCGTCCAGCCTATTTTGTAGGGTAAACCTAAGCTATATCTCAAACAAATAAGCTATATGCTTTCCAGCCTGAACCAGTTTGCATAAGCTCATTTCAGCCACATAATTAGGCTGCTGTATTTCAATGTTTTACCTAATTGTCAAGTTTGTCCATATTCACAAGTATATCATGTACATTTTTAAATGCTTTACCTCACGGCAGTGATAGTTTGGCCCAGGAAGCTGTGTTGAATAAAATGTGATGATCCGGAGAATTTGAGAAGCCTACAGGAAACAAAAGATACATAGTAAGATGTTGGGGGCATCAAAGAAAAATATTAAGTACCACCAGTGGGTCATCCATAAAGGTTACATACTTGAGCCGAGGCAGAAGGTACAAATAACAAAACCCTACAAAGGCACATGTTTTCATATGGAACAATGATAAATGCATAAGAATGATATTATCACGATTAAAATATTTTGCCATTTTTTATTTGCTGGTTTGGGAGCCTTAGCCTTATGGTAAGGCCGATTCCAGTTTTTGGCCTGTCATGCAACCTGTTTGCACAGCAACGTGTGTGTGTGTATTTTACATATATAACGATCCACAAGAATTCAAAAGATCTTTGTGTGGATAGCAGATCTGAGAAGTGTCTGGCAATGTAACAAACTGCAATGCAGAGTAATGGTCTTGGACCAGGTGGAGTGTGTTTTATGTTTAGAGGAGTTGGAAATAGCAAACCATCTTTTCTTGCACTGCCTGTATACAGCCAAGGTGTGGTGTACTGTGCTTGAAACTTTTGGATGCATGGGGTGTTAAGGCATTTTCCCATTCTGTGCAGTCAATTCTATTGAGGTGGCAGATTGAGGGTGTTAGCAAAAGCAGGAGAATTGTATGGGGATTCCTATGGCTGAGCTCTGGTGTGTTTGGGGGAGAGGAATGCTCAGATTATGGCTATCAATGTACAAGGAGTTTAGATGGTAAAATTATAACAGAATTTTTAATAGGGAGACATTGTTTTCTTGTTAACATCTTGCTGACAGAATTTGTACGGTGCTATACATGTGCATCCCAAGGTTATGGCCTTGCAGATATCCCACTTTTTGTTATTAATACAATATTTTACTGTTTCAAAAAAAACATTAAAAGAATGGATTAGGTCAATGTTATGGCCTTGCAGATATCCCAAGTGGGACCACACTCCACAGACCACTGGAAGTCTGCTTATGCACTGATTCTGTTGTATCCATCCTATGTTCCTTGACACCCAATCTCTTTAAGTTGAGCTTCAATTGAGAAAACACAAGCATAAGATGATATATTTTAACCCATGATGTTTTCAGAGGTCAAGTTTATACTCTCACAGTGGCATCAAATTTTACAGGTAAAACCATAAAAGATCCAGTTGGGGTTCACAATAAGGTGGCCACTAACACGAGAAAATAAGCTCATGAAAAAACACAAAAAAGGTGCTGAAAGAACATAGACCATGTATGCAATGATTAGAACTTACAACTAGAAAAGCTAGAACCCTGCGCCATATTAAAACAGTGTAGATCTTCTTACTGTGAAATATGAAAGGGTGAAAAGTCCACTGCAACAAAATATAACCCGAGTTAAGAATGATTAGCACCATCATTGAATAATGAAAAAACAGTTATTACAAAACATTGTCTGAAGGAAATGTGAAATTATTTTCAGTGAATATAAATAAATCAAACATTCTCATGCACGATGTAAGTAGAGCAAACAGTTATAAACATCAATGTGTCTCCCATTCATGCTAGTACCAGAACTAGTAATTGTCCTATGGCAGGAGAGACTTCTTACCGCTAGAGCAAAGGCTTAGAAAATCAATAGATCATAAAAGCACAAAATCCAATAGCAAATGCATGTTCATGCACATCATTCTATGTATCTACTAATTTAGACTTTCATGGATACGGGGCAGCTTTACATTTTGTAACTGCATGCATTTCTTTTCTCTTCAAATCTTTCAGTGAAAAATTACAAAATGTTGTATTGTACATGAAAAGTTTGCCTTATGGTTCTAAATAAAGTTTTTCATAGTTTAATTGTTGCAAGTAGATTTTAAATTTAAATCAAATTGCAGTTAGTTTATCCATTCACACAGTTTCATATTTGACACTTTGCCCAAGCAAAAAGAATTTTATTCAATGTTGTCATACTTGGACCAAGTAAAGACCATTTCAGTTACTGGGACAGGTCAGATGGCCCAACCAGTACTGAATCTATTGACGTCATTAGACCATACTCAAATATACAATATAAATTTTATGATATCAACATAAATTAAATAGTAGTTTGATGGCTGTTGTCATTTATTATCATACACTGCAATTCAGGTTCAAGTCATCATATTTGCATCTTTAACATAAAACATACTTATTGTATATATAATGTATATATATATATATATATAAGTAACATAAAATATATAAATATACACAAACTAGCATGTGGTTCAATCGTTTGTGCTTAGTTTTCTGTTAACTGGGGCTGGTTCAAATCCCTTTAATGTTGTTTTTAGTGACAATGGTAAATATAATTGAACAGGGCTACTGGGCCAATAATTGAAAATCAGATGGTTTGACACTAAAAACTGTCCAATTTTCACTAATGCCTGTCCAGCAATTCTTCTAGGTTTATTGAAATTAAGAACCACTATATTTAAAAACTGGAGTCCTTACTAGTTGTGGGTTCACTTGTCCAACTATCTGGTCTGGTCTGAGTCTGACATTTATTTTATCCATCCAGCATCACCTCACAAAAAGCTCCCATCTTATTTGCAGTGCCTTTAATTTGATTAGTTTATAATGGGGAAGAAAATATACATTCAAGTTGACATAAGCAACAGATCAAGCTTATGTCTTGTCTCCTGTAGCAACCAACAATTAAGGTGCCTAATGTATATAGCTAACATTCTAGGAAACATATCAAATAGTAAAGGATATACTCTTTTTTTTTGAAAGGTAGTAAAGGTAAGGTATTTCAAATATTAAAAGACCATTCCCTCAGTTTTCAGAAAATAAAATATTTAAAGAAACTGCAGTAGAAATTTGTTGTGTAAATGGCTAAAAGATTTATTTCCAAAGCGAAATATGTATACACAGTAACATTTTGAACATTACATAAATAGGTAACTTCCAATTATTTTCATCTAATTTTGTTCCTCCAAAATAATGGTGCCTAATCTCTGCACATTTAATCTTTTCCCCTTTTTCCATGACAAAGAAACAAGAGAGAGAGAGAGAGAGAGAGTTGATTTTTATTTTTTTTGATAAATAAGAGATTTGAAGTTCTGGTCTTGACAAGTTAATAAGTCAGGCAGTTAGCAACCTAAACCTGCATTCAAAACCGGTCTTCATCTTTTAATTTACTAACCATTGGTTAATTTGCATGCTAAAGGGAGATGTTGATTAAGTAAAATAAATATACTACTGGAACGAGCAACAAATCGTACATACAATGTCAATAAGTGTCAAATGACCAAAACTGCATGTAACTCAACAACTCAACTACCCATTGCATTTGCAAGGGAAGAATTCATAAACTTGGAAGAGAGAACAATGGGAAATGCAAGTGTTCATTGGTATTATACAATTCTCTGGTATTTAGAACCCAATATCCTGCAGTATAGCAAATTAAGCCAAATATATGAAATTTTAATGGACACATGTCAGCACAACAGTCTGCATAGAGGTAATTAGTAATTACAGTGTCTCAAACAGTAAGGTTAGGCTATTATATCATATACATAATTTGTAAGCTGTAAATATTATGGAAGTTGCAAATGAACTCAAAATTGTCCTCACAAAAGGAAGCAAAATCTAAGAACATTTGCATGATACTGACATTACAAAATAATTTATAAATAGAAAAAGAGACTTGCAAATTAAAAATATAATATTAGAATTTTGGACATAATAAAAATAAGAACAAAATGAAATAAAAGGAAGAGCCTTACCAAGACAAAGGATAAAAAGATGAAGGTGAATACAGTCTCACTGATGTAAGCCTTGTCTTGTCCAAGCTCCTGTAGTGATACAAATGTAAGGAAACATATCTTCTATCATAATTAAATCAACAAATGTCAGAAAAAGAACTTCAACATGAAAATCATCATACGCACTGGAAGAAGAAAAAAGCCGACATCCTGAAGTGTTGGCCCTGGTCGATGTAAATAATGAACTCCTCGTGCAGCCAATCCATGGATGTACTATGGACAGAAGAAAAAAAAATAAATTAAAATAAAATTTGAGAACTCAAATAATCTCCATCCTAGAAAATTAAGAGAGTAAGGAAATAACAAAACCCTGTCTAGATGAGGGGGAATAGAATAGAAAAACCATGACAAAATGTTGACCAAGGAACCATATGAGAACACCAAGAAAGCAGCCTATTAGCAATTAGAATTAAAAGGGAAAAATATTATCCATAAAAAAGACTTGTAATCTAGAAAGAAAATCAGTTTCAGATTGTTAAATTTACATTAAATGGGCAAAAGAAACACAGCTACTCTGTTCATGAAATGTTTACAAGAAATGACAATATTGGGTAGTTGCAGGATTGGTACATTACAACCTCGAATTAGCCTAGAAAATATACACTGAAACTGGCAGAACCATGATTAACTTTCACCGCAAGAACTTCAGAAAGCTATCCTAGGAAAGGTACCTGTGTTTGCTGATAAGAATAACAATAATATATATTATGACCTTTTTATTGAGGCAAACATTTTCTGCAAATGTAATTAAAGGAGAGTGATTCACACCAGAACTTTAACCAGTTGTTATCTTCATTTTGTCTTCACACGTCAAAATGTGTCTATGATTTGACTTGCAGTGATGCTCAAAACAAATCATGCGATATGTACCAATATCAAAGAAACGAGTAGCGAATCTAGAAAAAATCTTTTGAATCCCAATCCAAAAATACGCACGAGTAGCGAATCTAGTACTTCACGCCCTGAATTCAAATATAAAGCATCCCGTATAGGAACTGGACTTTAACACTGAACCTGAAGACTCTTCCAGCAACCGATACGGCAAAATTAAATAATGTCTCATGAGCTCTTACAATTTTCCTTCATTTTGTTACAAGGAAAACTAACAAAAGCAAAACAACATTGGAAAAGGGAACTTATAAAGGCCTACTATCAGAAAGACGGTGGTCACTAAAAATACCTGAAAAATCAATCCAGCAAGAAGAAGTTTCCACTTCTCCGCAAGGAGTTTGAGTTCTATCGACGTTTCCATTGAAAATCTTCTCCATAGCTTCACGGAGAAGAAAAACAAGTTATCATCAAAAGGCACGGAGTAACGTAGCAGAAATAAAGTGAAGCAGAAATAAAGTGAAGCAGAAATAGAAGAAAGCAAAAAGAGGAGAAAATTTTGGAAGAATAGAAAAGGATGAAGAGAAAAGGAAAGAAAGGGAGAAGAAATGAACCTTGGAAGCCTCGCGAGCAATATAAAACGTCATTTTTGTATCTTGCAATCAGTTCCATATTACTTCACAACCAGACGTTTGAGGCAGACATCATTAAAAACAACCGATGAATTGATCAATAAGTGTACAGAAGCATCTCCTTGGAAAATTAAAAATTGAATCCCCCAATCGCCTCCACAAGGCGATCTCTTCCTCTTTTATTCAAGCAAGGTCCTCAGATCTCTCTTTACCATAAAACTCGAATAGGGATCATAACAGGGACCAGTCCGATAATTTTAAACGAATCAAACCACGATGCTCAATCGAAAGTTAGAAACCAATATCTCGATAAAAGTCCAACTGTTTAAAACGATTTTCTCCAATCCAGAGCGGGAAATCGGCTTGAACCGAAGGTCTAAGCTTCAAATCTAATGATAAAACACGCGATCGGAACAGAGAAACGCTTCAATGGCGGAAGGTTGACGAGTTTTTTGTATGCAAAAAGTTGATAAAATATATCAGCACACAGCACTCTGTCTCTACCTTGCTCAGTCTTGAGTCTTGACGAACGCGGGTTGAACACGGATCGACGGTTGAAAAAGAAAGAAAAGATCGCCGCTACGCGACCCCTTAGGAAGCGAAGAGGAAGGATGCGTCGAGACTCAAAAAGAGAAGAAATAAACAAAATCTAAGCTAATATAAAAATATATATATATATATATAAATACAATATGAATTAATATTAAAATTGTAGAAAAATAGAAATTAAGAAAACGAGGAGGAAAGGGCAAAGGCAAATATTCCCTTCTATAGTGTGAGACAGTGAAATAGAGATGGAGGGAGGCTATGTAATATGTTATATTGTTGGTGGGTGGGACTTGGCCCTTGGGAGTGGGCTCTTTTAACAAGAATAGGGACTATTAACACTTTGGGCTTTCGGGTCCTCCGGCATCGGCCTGCTATACCGGCCAAAGTACACACTCTCGTGGGCGACGGATGCTTGGATGGGAAACCCAATGCAATGGTGAGCGAATTCTTCAGAGTTTTGGTTTATTTTTATTTATATAATAATATATATAATCTAATTAATTGATTTAATGGACCGAGGTTCGAGTCCCAGTGGCCCACCGTTCAGAACGGTTAAAACTTAAAAAAGTTAAAAAGTGTCACTGAAATTCCAAAATTATTCCCACCTCTTTGGGAAATTACCGACATGTACAGGATGAAGTTCCAAGAGCAATCGAGCTGGAGGCGGCTTCCGGGCTTCGAGAATAACGGACCAAAGAACTCGCCATCACTTCCTCGTTCATCCGTTTCAAATTTCAAATGTGTGTGCGTGTCAGTGTGTCACTCTTTCTCTGACTCCACCGTTCAAGGAAGAAGGTGCAATTCTCGTGTTTAAGTTAAAGAATTAATTAATGATAGCGGGACCGTGATGAAGAATCAGGACTTCCAAGTTCAACCAAGATGTCGTTATAAGGCCACGGATAAGACCGTTGGATTAGGGAATTTTAGCTCCAAATGTAGTTTAGGACTGTGTAATCTGCTGGTGCTGGCTGCTAGCTGCTAGCTTGTAGTTGTAGGCTGTAACTGCTGCCCCGGGGCCTAGCCCAGGATATGGAGATTGGAGATGTTCTAGAATGAAATCCCTCTCCCCTAGAGTCTACACTCTAGACCTTATTTTAAATCCTTCTATTCTGGCCTAAGGAGGAGGAGGAGAAAGCTACTTTCCTTGTTTTATGGATGAAAAGTATCAACTTTGACGAGAAAATTCAACATTTCACAGTGAATGCATGAATCATTTGACTTACTAATCATGTTGAATTGATGGACCCTTCCGTGGGCGCCCACCACATATTCAAAACTCTTAAAGCCCTCCCCACACGTAACTGGCGGTAACCGGTAAGATGGAAATATCATCCAAATCGGACATTGATTAGGAAAGGACGACCAAAGATTATTATAAATCACATGAACATTTGCATTGCAGTGAATCCCAGCCAGCCCAAATTCCTTGGTCGACATTTTGAAATTTCAATGGGAAATCCTTTTCCTTCCTAGAAGCGAAGCTAGGAGCCAGCACCAGGACCAGGAGTGGTTCAAATTAGCTAGGCCAGGCCCAGGTTTTCAAGTCTGGAGGCAAAACAATTGGAAGTTGGAACTTCCAAAATCCAAATCCTGTTTCTGTTTTCCACAATCACACCGGTTAACATTGCTTCCCCGTAAGATTTTCCCGTGGTTCTCCAACTTGTCGTCATCTCGAATATCCGTCCGATCTGATCTGGCGATTATCACGTTAATCACCACTTGTTTCGGGGAGTTCGCATCAGCGCCCTATAACTATAATGTCCCACAGCACATCCCGACCTTGCATTGGGAACATCTCCCGATGAGAGATGATGAAAGATGTTCTCAATACAAGGTCGAGATGTGAACTCTGTTTCGGGCGCCGGGGCGCCCACTGCTCCACTTTATTATTATTTCTTTTATTTTTTCAATCAATCATTCAATCTTGCCTTCTTTATAAGAGATTAACTGGTTGGTCCAAAATCCTAAGCTAGAGATGGATGGTCTGGATATGTCTTGTACTTGTAGGCCCTACACTCGGCTTAGAATCTTTGCAGATCCCTAAAAAGCCCATAAAGACAAAAGAGAATACCCTTGTCCCTTGGGCTCGCCCAAAATGGTTCATCTTTCCGGTGTAACTTTGAATTGGATGTCATCATGTAAATGGATCGAATATGTTTTTCGTTTTTATCAGGGTTTCTAGGTTTCACAGTTTTCACTGAATCCATGATAAATGTGAAAAAAAGAAAAGGAAAATAAAGACAAGAAAAAGTTGCATCTTCATCGACCTGAGAATAACCTTGAACGGGATTTTAGCTTCTACCAAACCACATGAAAAGCTTCAAAACCGTTGGAGTATTATGTTCCAGGAATTGCGTTGAGGGTCTCGTAGTTTTTTTATTCCATGCAAGGACTAAAGCTTTGTTTGTTTGTATAGGAGTTCCATTTTTTTACCATTGTTTTACATTTTACTTTGTTTTTGTTTGCAGTGTAGATGGAGTAAATTAATACTTGAAACAAAGGAGAGTGCAACAAACCAAAACTTGCATTCCCATGCGTTAATTTGTACTAATCTATATGAAATTGCATTGCAAACATTTGGAGCATTAGAGATTTTAGTTTGCACAAACACCAATTTAGTACCCTTCATGTTTAGCTGGATGATGGAATGGAAGAAGTTTAGTTTTTTTTTTTCCTTTAATTATTAGAAAAAAGGCTCACGGAGTCACGGGGAGGATTTACAACCCGCATTAGATGCAAAAGGGTCCGGCATCAATTTAAGGGAATTTAGGCCAATGCCTTTAGCTGTGTTTGGTTTGAAGGAAAAGGTAGGGAAGGGAAAGGGAAACCTTTTCCTTCAAACCAAACACAGCTTTACGTGTGATCATGTACTGAGTAACAGTTCTTTGCCATCAACCCCAAGAATCGTCTACTTCTCAAAAGTGAATAAGAAAATAAAAAATGGATAAGGCAGTGTCTCCTGAAATGGACAAATAAGATTTTGTTTAAAGGCTGTATTTGTTCAGTGTAAATTTAATTTGCAGTGGTGTAACTGCATGGAGTGCAAATTAAATAGGCTATGCAAATTATGGTGCATTAATTTTTGGGATGCAAAATTTAAATTACTAATGACCAAAAGTCCAAAACAAATTTATTATTTAGAATTGTAAATCACATTTACAAAAAAAAATGGATTGTAAAATTGAAATGGATACAAGTTATTATTATTATTATTATTATTATTATTATTATTATTATTATTATTATTATTATTATTATTATTATTATTATTATTAAATTTCAAGTTTAATTTGATGCCCGCAGGCCGCAGAGAATACATATTGCTCTGAGTCTCTGACTGCATGCATGCTTGTAATGATGCTGGGCCATTGCTCTACAACTCATCTTTCCAATATGCTTGGCCCCGCCCCGACCCATAATATTCGAATTCTGAACTGGTCAATTTGTACAACCCCACCCGTCCAACCACATAGAGTTGAGATCATATTCACAGTCATGGTGTTCAAGTTTTAATTAATTAATTTATTATTTCTGATAATAAAGTTATTTTTAATATTTTTTATTGGATTTTAATTGATTTCAATCCAAACTAATGCAAGCAAATCCATTTTTGTACTTTTGTATATATTTCTTTTACCGCCCGGGTGAGCCGGTTTAGGGTCACCTGATAAGCCTGATCAAATTCCAAACCCGGCATGTCATATATTGTATATTACTAGTGAATGACCCCTTATTAAGTACGGGGAATCATTAATATTAAAATTATATTATTGAATTAATATAATAAAATTTATATTTATTAATATTTTAAATAATTATTAAAATATAAAAAAATAGCTTTTGAATAATTATTCGAATATGGATAATTTTTTTTTTGTTATGATACATAAATGGTTAATGATTAAGTGAGATTTATAGAATGTAGACAAAAGTAGTTGTAAATAATTACTTTTGCATTTTCTGCATTTTTTTAGGAATGGATTGAAAATGGTGGTAGTGGGATTTAGCATCAATTTCTCAGAAAATGCCACGTGTCTAGCTTTTGTGTCTAAATGGTGGGGAGTTGTAGTCTGGTAGTGGGTTATGGGTTTTAACAGAAATTTCTCAAAAATTTCACATGTCTAGTTTTCTATAAAATGAGAAGGCCACTTGTCTGAATGGTATTGGGAATACGATGTGAATATTAATATTATGAAGACTGAATCCGGTCTCTGTTTAAGCATTCAAGGTTGGTGTCTATTGTAGGAATGGCAACGGGGCAGGGATCATATTCCCCGGTTTCTGATCTTTATTCTGAAATTAATCTTATCTTTGTTTTCGATTTCTGTTGGGGATGAGTTTTTTGCAGGGACTTGAGTCGTCGGAATTTTTTTAGATAATAGTATTTTTTGAAAATAAATAAAAATTTTGAATTATAAATAATGTTATATATATGCACATATATATATATATATATATAATTAGGATCGAGTCGGGGCGGGTACCTCAATCCCCATCCTTGACCCCGATCGGAGATTCCTATTAATCCTCGTCCCTGCCCCACCAAAACAATCTCCATCCCTATCTCCATTGGATCAAGGAAGTCGAGTCACTGTTGGGATGGGAAAAATTGCCATCCCTTGTCTATTGTTTAAACATCTGATAAGACCTCACAAAAATCCTAACTTAAAGACTGGAATCAGGAAATTGCAAGCAATTAATCACAGGGCACACTTCCGGATTCCACTTACACAAATAATGTCTTCCAAACCCCACGTCCACGTCTGCTATACATGTGACCCATTCAAGGAATGGTTACAGCTTGAATTTGGATTGTTTGGCGTCATTCCAATGTTGACCTGCTGGACTTATCATTGGCGCTAAAGTTGTGTTTGATTTGAAAGAAAAAAAAATAGTAAGAAAACCTTTACCTATACTTTCCTATCTTTTCTTACCTTTTCCTTCAAACCAAACATAGCCTAACTGACGTGCCCCTTAAATTGAACATGCCACAGGGAATTGGAGGTATGATGGGAAATATAAAGAAAGGAGGAAAATGCCCGTGCTGCATAATCCCTAGTACGAATAAATACCTCAGTTGCTGGTACATC